TCGTAAGGACGTTTATGCAGCTTATAGGGCGCATTACTGGACATGCGTAGCTCAAAATCGCTGAGGATTCTATTATCCGCATACAGGAGTTGCGGGTATACACACTGTTGCCTAGCACTCTTCGGCAGTAGTTAGTCAGATCTAACTGTAGTACAACGAAACGTAGAATTCCTTACAAACTGTAATGTAGTCACTGGGGGCCTGTCGACAGACGTAACAACATTGTCACTGTGGACCTCATGCAGTGCTTCGCTTAGCCAACTCCTGTTGTGGTGAAGGAGTGTGGCAGTTAACGCTTTGCTAAGGGATTATAAGTAATGCCCCACGTTTGAAACTAAGTCAAAGAGTGGAAGTGTCCACTGCATTATCCAGTGAGTTCGAAATACCGCAGAGGATGTCGTTGACAATTCAGGTCAGGTCCGTCAAGTACTTGGCACCCTTTTTCTTCTTCATTATGCACCGCAGTTTGCGACTGCGAACAATGTCTAGACTGCTTGTAACAACACGGTTAGCAGACTCGTTGAAAAAAGCAGAGCCTACACATTTAGAAGAACAGAACAACAGTCTTGTGAGCTCACCTGGCACGTCGCTAAACTACCAAACGAATTTACTGGAAATACGGTAGCTAGCAGGGCTGTAGCCAATGCGAGGAAAAAACCAAACAGAAAACAAATGCTTTGCAGCAGTTCCACGAAGAATGGAGCAAAGTTCAAACTTGTCGGTAACTCTACCTGAACAGGGGAACGCTGAAGTAACCTGTACCAAGCCGGTGAAAATGCATAAGCGAAAGTTTAAACCGGTGAAGTACATGTAGGCTTTCGAGTGCTATAGAAGTTACATGCTGTCGAAATAAACAAGGGTAGTTTTGTTAACTTTGTATAATCTACTCAACAGACAACGAATAGCTCAAGCAGTTCTGACATCACAGTGACAGAAAAGCCAACAGCATCCTGCTTAACTGCTTCTGTATTTACGTAAGCCATGTCTTCGACGTGAGTTCCTGCCGACATTAAGAGGCAACAGGCCCACAGAAATATCACCGCAGGCTGACGGAGTCATCCGCCTCATAAGAACAAGCAGCATTAATTGTTTGCATGTTAAAAACGAGACAACTCACCGGTGCAAGAGTAAGTACACCGTTTTTCCAGGATAGGTGAACTTTTGCAAATTAACATTTTATAAAATGTACCGGCATGAAATTTCGGTAAAGCTTTCCCGACTGCCAAAGATGAGAAAGCCGATGCCTGGCTTCCTTCACTTGAGGATAAATTCTCACTTTTCTTCTCCTCGCCTTGCATTGCACTAACACAGTACTTTTCCAAACGATCCTTCAACATTTTCTGGCTTCTGTGTCTCAAGTACACGGATTTACTCTTC